GTGGTGTGGAAATAACAGCAAAACATTTCATTACAAAACAAATATAATCATATTTCGTATTTCGTAATTAAATATTAAATTTGTAATTTTTCAATTTTCGTCCTTTTTTTCGTCCAATTCGTGGTGGCCAATCGTAGTGCAGTTGTCACCGTAATGATTTGGCAGAATAGTTTTCAAACAAATGAAATGACATAGTGCAGTTGTTACCGTAATGATTTGGCAGAATAGTTTTCAAACAAAGGAAATGACATTTCGTCTCTATTTCTGGTCATATACTCGATAACGGGAGTACAAACGTGACCTAACCATATGCGAGTCAATATGCTAGCTATACCTGTTTCTGTCGTTCTTATCATAAACAACGTAATCGAGAAATTGAGCTATAAACATGTCTCGAATTAGTTAAACGAGATCCAAAACCCTCTATAAGCGTTTTTTTATATCTTATTTAGTTTCAGTTTTATTATTAAGCAATAACCGCGTAATTGACTTGAAAGTTACAAAAATGCAAAAGCGTTGTTTGTGATAAGTTCCGGTTTCCGGTTCCGGCACCCTCAGATCTTTGCGATTTCTAAATTGTGGCAAAGTAGCTGTTAAGGAAGCCTAGTGTTATGTAGGCCTATCCATGTCACTTACTTCCAAAGTATAATGTCCTACAGGATTCTCAAGTGGGGTAGAGCGACAGGTATACAAACCATATTTGTGTTGCAAAAACAAGCGATACGTTCTATGCGTTGTTTAGGTTTTCGGGTTTCTCTCTGAGAAAACTTTAAGGAGACTGGTGTGATACCATGACTGTGGTATCACAATAGGTACATTTACTTCAAATATTTTGTATACCCTTAAGAATATATATAATTTCATTAAAAAAGAATATATCCATAATATTAACCTTAGAACTAAATCTTCTTAAACGATTATTTTAGGGGGACCTGTATATGACTTTACAATAACATTTAACGAAATAACATTATCTAAGTTTATTTTCTAAGTTTTAAAAGAAATAACATTTTCTAATCTTCTTTCGATATTTGTATTAATGATTACAACAAACTAGTGCAGTAATTTCACAAAAAATAATTGAATATCAATTCAATAAAAAATTAACATTTTCTAAGTTTAAAACTTACATTAAAAGTATTTTATTGAAAAGTCACATTACAAAATTGTGGATTACGTGTTAGATAAAGATGTATGGAAAGACAACATGAGTTTAGATTCCACACAAATATGTTTCAAAGTGTATTCTATAGCATTTAAGTTTATTTGAAAAAAGCAATAGCTCTAGAGTTTGTTGCTCGTTCTTCTCAGGGGAATCAGCACAGTGAACGAGCAGTAGCTTAAAAATGACGTTTTCAAGTGTAAAAATGTTTACCAGTGGAATAAATGATTATTTCACTTATCCTTACCACCAGGCGAACGACTTGATCATCGTTATTTGGTATTATAAAGTTTTAAGAGTTTTAAAAATAACTTTTAGATGGTTAGTAAATAGTTTTTGACGATATTATCATCTTACTAAACTTAACACTTTGTTGATGTAGTAAACGCCATCCCATTACCTCCAAAAATAAATCTATTGACAAACTTGGTGTTTAAGAAGACCCTAGTGTTATTTTGATCTGAGTGTTCTTGAATTTGATCCATGGTACATGGAAACCGGGGCAAATAATTTGGGGTGATTGTTTTTCTTTAGATACTATTAATATATTTTGGCCACTACTCAAATGGCTGCTGTAGATAGCGTGGTCATCTGGTTTTGTCATAAAGGGATACAGTCACTACGCCCATGAAGCTGTCTTTTTGGATAGTAAACCTTAGATAGTAAACTTCAATGGTTTCCACATATATCTTCCTTAGCCAGCAGATTAAGCTCTGCTGCATACGCAGTCCGTAGACTACGTGAGCTTACCGATGTTGCTACTGCTAGACTAGTTTACTTTAGTTACTTCCATAGTATAATGTCCTACGGGATTGTCATGTGGGGTAAAGCGGCAGATATACAAACCATATTTGTATTGCAAAAACGAGCGATTCATTCTGTGTACCGTTTAGGTTCTCGGGTTTCTCTCGGAGAAAAGTTTAAGGAGAGTGGTATCATGACTATGACATCGCAGTGCATTTACTCAAATATTTTGTATGCCCGAAAAAATATACGTAATTTCATTAAGAAAGAAGATATTCATAATATTAACCTTAGGTCTAAGTAGACTAAGTCCAAAATCGTGTTACCACGATTTCGTTTAACTAAGGTAAACGATTCTTTTATGGGACACTAAGTGACAATCGTTATTCAGAGACACTGATGCTTGGGTAAGTTCGCATTACATATTATCTAATTCGCTCGTTGCTCGGGCGATGGTCTGCGGGATCAAGGTCCTTCATCATTGAACCGTGGGTGTCTAGGAAAAAACGTAAAGATCCTTGCTTCTACTTAAGTGTACCTATATAATGCCGAGTTCTTGGAATATTGAGGCATTAGTACTCAACTCTGACCACATTACCCGAACCGTCCTTCTCCAGGTTCAAATTTCCAAAGTGTTATTTCTTGTTTCGTAATTTTTTATTCCATACATAGGTATGTGTTATCCCAACTCTCGTACCATTATTTGATTTAATGATCAAAAGACATATTTAGTACTTTTGTGCCGGTTTTGATGGTGTGCCATCTTTGAGGTTCTCTCTTTCTCGAGTTCGATCCCCAGCCGAGTCAATGTAAAAACTGACTTTTCTGTATTGTCTCGGGTCTGGGTGTTTGTAATACCGTCGTTTTTCTGATTTCCGTAACACAAATGTTTTAATTACTTACTTTGGGATCGGAGCATACGTTTATGCGACGTTGTCGAATAATATTATTAATATTATTTTATATTTTCAGTTCGAAAAAAGTAACCCTGCTTACTTAAATTACACGTAACTATTTTTTTCAAGTCCTGCGAAGACTTGACCTTATTCGCTGGAGGATTGATTATATTTTGTAGTCTCTTGTAACTACTTATTATTAAATAAAGACTTGAGATGAATGCGGCAAACTTTTCAAAATTATATGCTTGCCGAAATTATCATCTGGCACCACGTTTCTTGTTAACTCACGCTAGGGAGTGGCATGACGAAATAAATGGTATAACATTATTTCCGTGATTCCATATTTACAAGGTAATCGTAAAATTCCCTGAGCGGGAACAGTATCAAATATACATCAGATAAATACTTATGTCTTATGCAGTCATGGAATGACGTAAGGAACCCTGGCGCAATCACGATTATAGAAGCCAAAGTGGGAAATAATTTTATTCAAAGACATTCTGCGTCATTTAAACGTATGTATAGGTACTTTATTCACCGTCATGTTATTGCCCTCTGATGATGAATGACTGACTGAGTTTTTACTATGGACTGCTCTGAAATCACGAAAACAGCTCTTGTTAAAAATTGCCATTGGAACAGTTGATTTTTGCTACTTCATTTTTTTAATATTGTATCAAGTGACGGGACGAACAAGTCGTGCACCTGATGGTAAGCTACACACCTGTCCATAACAGTTGCAGTGCCACTTAGAGCTTTAAATCGCAAAGATCTGAGGGGCACTGCCACTGCGCCCGTCACCCTGAGGCATAAGTTGACAAGTCCTATGTACCTGTAATTTCACTAGCACCTTTACCCTTCAAAACCTATATAATAATCAGAGATTTCCTTAATACATTCTTGCTTTGTAAACAATAGGATTTACTCGGATTACTAGGATTTTACTCGATAACTATGTTCTGAATAACGTTTGTATCCTTTGCGGGTCGAGAAGATCGAGTAATCGTATGGGTGTGACGTCATTTCGGTTCGCTTTTGAATACGACGGTTTGACGTTCGATTCGGGTGTTGTGAATAAAAATGAAAAGAAATCGGTCGACAACTGAGTTATCGTGAGGTTCTGAATCGACTCCCAGGTCTCCATTGGTAAAATTGTTTAGTGAATAGTACCTACACTTGAAAAGGATTTCAGTTATTAATTTAGGTATATCGTTGGTGTTTGTGAAAAGGGCGTAAGCGCCATTTCGAAAAATATTTCAGGCGAGCGTGTTTTAGATTTTCACGACTGTTTTAAATTCAATTTTGGTTTCAATAACATTAGGTTTTAAATTCAATTTTAAACATAATTTTAAAACAGTCGAAATGCTGTGTGTAGCCTTTCTACAAAACCGACGATATATGCAGGTGTCAGCAACACGGATGCCCTGCGGATTATATACTCAGATAAGTATCTAGTTTTTGTTAAGTACAGAACTTCCGCTATCAGCGACAACTACAAATAACGATTGTAAAAACGAAATCCATGAATGCTTAGATTATCCACATCGTCATTTTGTTTTTAAAACAACATTAAGTATTCAAAATGGCTCAACAACAACTCCACACAACGGTTAACCGCGCAAATATTCAAATCTGATCACGTTATTCGTGCACAACACGTAATTGCGCGAACGATCCTTTTTATAAGCCAATAATAACTAAAATAAAAACAACAAAGATTCGTAATCGTTGAATATCGATAGGTTGTTTCTTAATGGAGATAAAGACCAGTCACGACCCGGTATCAGTTTTTATTTGATTATTCTGTGAACTTAAAGGAATTGAAAGGTTTTAACGTCTGATTCATAGGCAAAGTTATTGGCTTTAAGTTTCTTAGGTCACATAACTCATCTTATACACGCGTATATGAGTCAGTCAGTTAATGTATTTGATTTTAAAACTGAAAGAAAGATACTAACGCACTATATTCGTTAAGAAAATCTACGTGTATTTGATATTGTCACTGTCATAATGTATAAATAAGCAGTTATTGTGAAAATATACATTTACCACACTGTTCCACCACATCCACACTGTAATCTCAGATAGAACTTTCTGTTTAGGCTTTCCATCTAATTAAAAAGTTATGACCTATAAATTATGAAGACATAAGTCTATGATGACTGAACTTTGGGGTAATATTAAAACATACTTACGCCAGCTAAATCAATTTGTTTCTGGGTACGCTCTCCGCCAGGAAATACTGGTCTGAAAGAATCCTGTAAACAACAATCCAACTGACTGTGGTTTTCACATTAGAGAAAGAAACACAAGATGAAATAGTGGTTGAAGATAAAGGGAAGGCTATTGTGATTGCTAATGTGAAATGGAAAGAAGTAGAAGACGTAACAAAAGAAGACCAGATGATAAAAAAATGATTGATGAATTGTACGTCGTATTGGTAATCGAAATAGCACTCATTGTGAAGTAAGAATTAAAGGAACAGTTGTTAAGTGATAGGAAAATGTAAAACATATTTTATTATAGATATACGAGTGATGAAGAAAGTTGTGAGGAAATAGAAAAATCAATCATGAGAAATAAGTAACGATATAAATAAGATAGAAATAAGTAAGAAATAACGATAGTGCTCAGCAGTATATTTGTTACATTCCCAAAACGTTCTAAACGTGAAGTGGTAAACGAATGTTAAATTTTGTTTGGGAAAAATCATATTAAGCTGACTCTGTTCTCTCGAGACTCCGTACTCTCTCTTTTCAGACCTATTAACATAATACTCATTTTTGGATGTTCTTAGATTGCTAGAATTTTCCAGATTTTAACCAAAATGATCACTTGTTCTTTTATAAATCTAAATCATAGTTCCCCAAAGTGGTCCCTACCTGTGGCCTCAAATGCGGTTTTCGCTTATGATTTTTCTGTTAATTTAATAAAAAATACGTGTTTTCAATTATTTTATGTGGTGGTGGGTGTTATCTTGCGTAAGTGGGCGGTGAGCTGAAAAGTTTGGGAACCTATGATCTAAATCCTGTAAAGACCTCCAACTTCTTAAATCTAAAATCTTCTTTAGTCTCTTTAGTTAGATGTCTACTTATAAAATCGTTCTGAAATATTTATATAAGTTCTTAGGTTTTGCGATTTATATCTATAGATTGTAATTAAGCGACATATCCGCTCACGCGATTCATGCGTCTCTGGAAGCATACCACACCTAGAGGTGCCGGTGATGATTTTATGCCGATTTATCGGACATCGAAGTTATAACAGGTAAAATAACTAATACTTATTGCTATTTCGGTAACTACTCTAGCAAACCATAAAGTTTTTAATGCCTGGGTGTGTCATTTAAAAAAAATAAACAACTTCAAGAATCGGATGTCGGTGTTTATTTATTGAAAACATACCGTAAGTTGCGTTTTTTAAGTTTACCCTGAATATAAATGTTTATAAACTATACTTTAAGGAGTAATTTCATGGTAAACATTAGAACCACTCAAACGGAATATTGTCATATTTACCCAAGTACACCAAAAATTTCATTAGTGCTTTTTAAGTGCAGGATTTGCGGTGTATTACTGCATTTTATTTGAGATGTTTTTGTTGTAGTACGGAGGGTATTTATTTAGCAATGCAGAATAATAATTTTTATTTTTAAAAACTTGTATTTAAACTGAATCCTTTTCTAATTTGCGAAACCAAATAGCCGCCATTTTGCGGTAGGATGAGCGCATCGCGTGAGCGGTTAAGAGAAGACGCAATATCGAGCCGTCTCAATGGGAAGATTGGCAGCACTGTGCCCTGAATGGCGAGGGATTGTGAAGAGGCAAGTTTACGAGTTCGAAGAGCGACGTAAAGCTGAACTCGACGCGAAACGTGACGAAATAAAGGTTCGTCCACCCTCCGCTATTTACTAGAATTACGTTGGCGGTGTGCTTACGTGTCCCCAATGTGAACGAGGGTTCGCCGCGAAGATTGGCTATATTAATCATCTTCGAGCGCATTATCGCCAACTGAACTAGGAGTGGAAGTGGTCGAACACGTAGATAGACTTGACGAGAGACGACTTGAGCGAACACGGTCGGATAGATAGATTGGAATTGAACTATTTTTTCGGATCTAAATAGTAAAAGTTCAGTAAATAGGGATGTTCTTTGATAAATTTGAATTATTAATCTTTGTAAGTAAGGCTCAAAATGCGGTTTGCATTAATATTAGACATAAGCTTCTTGATGACTTAACCATCTCAGTTAGCTGTTAGCATGGGATCTGTAGAGCCTGAAACTTTGGTTTATTTGAAAAATAAATACAAACGGTTTAAATCCAAAAAAATAGTTTCATTTCCAATAACGAAGACACCGTTCAATTTTGGCTTGTTTACGGAACTGAAGGTAGTTATTTAGCAAATCTCAAGCGGACAAAGAAGCGGATGTCAGGTAATTAGAAAAAGAAAACGAATCAAAGAGACACATCTATAGATGCCAGTTTCAGTCTATTGACGTGCAGAACTGAAACTAAGTTCATTGATAAAAGAAAAGTAACAAAACATAGTCATTCACCTGAGAATCTTTGTTAAGTGAAAGCGATAGGAATTTAAATCTAATAATGTGACAATAAGATACCTAACCGACAAATTTTGACAATTGACGAAAGTGAAAATAAGTAATTTTAGAAATGTGACAAAAAAGCTTCACAAACTGTAACAAATGAAAAGATGAATCCTATCGGACTATGTAGTTAGGTATTTAAGCGTCGAAAGCTGTTCTATATGTAATTTTAAACCTTTAAAAGAATTTCTAGTAAGTGACGACTATAGAGGTATAGCAAGAAAAACGTAATTGTTGAAATTCCCCTATTGTCCACTTTACAGCGAATGAATTGTAATGTACAAATTTGACAGAAAAATGTTATTTTAAAATATAATTATACTCAAAATTATGAGTTTTATGTTCTGCTGGAAGTAATTCGTTTTAGTCAAACTTACTTTCCTAATATACGCCAATGGAAGTGTTGTAAGAGATAATCATCATCGACTTATTGCACATCCCGCTACTGGGCACAGGTCTCCTCTAACGAGAGGGTTGTAAAGGTCATCTATAGTTCATAATAGTCGCAATCATTAAGAGCAATGTGCTCTTCGACAAAGCTTATTATAGTTACACGTTAGTTTAAATGTAAAGTTCATAGACCTTGCAGAAAAAGTTTATATAAAACAAAATTGCGGATAATGAGAGTTGACTGTGACTGTGAGGTGGGGTTCAAAAACCTTCCGCAAAAAATCTGAACCATTTAAGATTGGTCTCACAATCGAATTGCAGTGTTGTCGTAAAGTTTTATTTGAAAATATAGAATTCACGAAGTGTGGATTTCCCATACCGTGATGTGAGTTTGATTCCATCAAAATTCAAATTACTTTCAAAAATGTCTTACTTGGTACTTGGTACTTAGTGTAACGGGCTGGTGTCCGCAACTCGACGTCAAGGCGCCTATTTTGCGTGTGGAATGTCTTACTATGGTGTTGACCACAATTCCATATTTATTAATTTATTCTTGGTTTAGTAGTTACCTTAATGGACGTTTTCAAAAGGTAGTACGAGTAATACAAAACTCTGATGGTACCAACATCGATTCAGACCTCAAGTCAAGCCGAAAAGGTGTCCCGCAAGGCTCCATTCTTGGACCTTTACTTTTTATTTTGTACAGCAGTGATTTGGCTAAATAAAGGTTAGCTGAAACTTGTTCATATTTCAATGTTATTGGGAATAATAAGCCAGAAAAAAAAAATTGCTGCGGTAATTAGGTTGAGAATGCCCAAATTGTGAGAATGGCCGATATTTATTTCAGAAATTAACCGTAAATAAGTTTGTTTCTACGATTTTATGTAATCATCATCATTATCAGCGTCAACCCATTTGTATGTGCCACTGTTGGACACGGATCTATTCTCAGCCGAGGGTCTAGGCGATAGACCGGCACACTGGCCCAATGCTGTTTGGGCACATCACACGTTTTTCTGAACCTTGTTCAAGAGGATTTATCACAATGTTTTCCTTAATGAAATTTCGCATATATATTCCTAAAAATGTAGAGGTGCGAGCCTATTGAAATCGGTTATGGTAAAGTAATTTGCCAACCTTAGAAATCGAATATTTTCTTCAATTTGCATGGAACCAATGAAGTACCCTCTTTCCAACAAAAAAAAGGATCATCGAGATCGGTTCACAAATGTCGAAGTAGTCGCGTAACACACACACACACACACACACACACACACACACACACAAACTGTCGAATTAAGAATCTCCCCTTTTTTTGAAGTCAGATTAAAATAATTTTTTCAAACTTTTCTATAGTTACGAAAGATTTTAAATTAAACGTTATAGATGTGAATGAAATGTTCAATACGCACATGTGGAGTATGTTATGTTAATGTAGAGATTTAGCAAATTGTGCCATGATTAATGAAATAGAAATGTAGAGTTTTCAGAGTGTTAGAGTAAGTATAAGTTAGTTGGTGATGCAGTAAAGGAGTAAAGATATTGTAGAGACAAATCTAAAAATACTTTACTTCTAAAAATTGGAAAAACTGAGTTAACATATCGATTTATAAAATCCAGAATGGCATCAAAAAAGAATTCTTTTTTAATTAAAATTAACTGATTAAAAACTACATTTGAGAAAACTACTCACGTATAAATAAGGCTCCATGAAAACTTCGTATACATTGCTCTGGTAGTCTTCGATAGCTGGTAGAGTCTTAATTATTAGATTCCTTCCGTATCCTGGGACACCTTGGAAACTCTTGCCGCTCAATGATGCAAAAAGCCAGAGGAGCTGACCGAAAAACACATGAAGTCGAAGATTCATATTTTTGAGCAAAATTAAAAAAAATTAAAAACTTTTTTCTTCTCTATGCGATTCAGCCACCAACAAATTTGAAATTAGAAGGCGTGTAATCTAGCCGACAGACGCGGTACCAATGGTTTTCGACTCGGATTCTAGTATATTTGCCCGTACATTTTAAGACGTTAACTCGATAAGACGGCTGGTTTGTCATTACACGTTGTCTACCAAGGTTCTGTAATAGAGAGGCGTGACCTAATGATCATTTAGACATGGCATTGTTTAGTGTGTGAGGAAGCTGGCTTATTAATTAGTTATAAATGGATAAATGTGCGATTCGACTGATTTACGGTTAATTCTCGCAGTTTATTCTCTTATACGTAAATAATGTAAATAAATTTAATGGTATATGTTCAATTATATGAAACGTGTAAATATTTCAGATTTAATAAATCCCTTGACTTATGAAAACATATGAAGTATTATTTATTATACGAGTAGGAATACGTTTCTGTACATGGCGTAGTTATATTTGCTTGACAGGTACATTTACTCTACAATCATACAGTATGTATAGTAAGTTCAACACAAATATGAAATTCCATAACGCATTTTGTGATTGAGTTTGTCCCGGAAGAACCTTAGCTATTTCTGCCGCCAAGCAGTATTGTGAGCATTATTTTGAAGGGTAAAGGTGCTGTTGAAATTACAACCACATGAGACTTGCCCACTTTAGTCTCAGGCGCAGTGGCAGTGCTATTCAGATCTTTGCGATTTAAAGCTCTGAGTGGCACTGGAATTGATATGGACAGGTCTCACTTACCACCAGATGTACGACTTCTTTCTCCCCCCACTTATTATCATAAAAAAAATATTTTATACATTCTTAGTAATTTTGGACTATGGCTAAACCACGAACCCATTTAACGTGTTTGTTTTTATATTGTATTGTCTTTTTATTCTAATTCAAATACTTTATTTCGGATTGTTCATCCATATTGGTTAGTATAACTTATAAATATGTACTGGGTTCGTGTATATATGAAGTTTGGTCCAGTGTTCAAGAAATGAACCCTGGATCTTGCTTGCAATAATACTCGCGATGCCGTTACCGCTGCCACGCAGTCTGCGCATCAAGGATGCCGCTCTCTTTCTCATGATGCCGGTAAATCCATCTACATGCGTGTCTGCGAACATACATGACAATGATTTTTTTTAATTTAGATAATATTGTAATTAAAATAAAGGCTGTATCCATTCATATACTTTCAACTGTTGGGTACAAATTTTCCTCTAATGAGAGGCTAAATTAGATCATTGACTTACATTAGTTCTGCTCCACTTCCCCTTAAGTTGCTAATTATCAATATCATCATTATCAACTCATTATGTATTGTACTTCTGTGCACAGGTCGCTTACTTGTACCTATAGTCTAGAGCATTATTCTACAGGATATGTCACGAAGAGTGTGCGATGGAATAGCATGATTTAATTCCGCCTTCCCCTTTCCATTATTGGAGGACTAGACGTGGGCTGGGGTTTAACCTCTATGTTGTGGATATATCAAGGATCGCGCGAAGCGTTTTGCTTCCATATTTATGTGGCGAACGGCTACAGAGTGGAAATCTGAACGCTGTATCTTGGGTCTTGTCATGGCGAGAATGAATACGTAGGCATTAATTAGGTGTGCATGCTCCATCGTCGACCTCATCGTGACTTTCCATCAGGTGACATGGAGATCGAATGCGCATTATTGTTTCATAAAAAAAGTTTGTAGTTTACTGCTTTTTTGGTGTGTACATTACGCGAACACTTTTTTGTGAACTGATTTTGATGATTCTTTTTTGTTGGAGAGAGCGTACTTCAGTGTTGGTCCCATTTAAATTCGAAGAAAATATTCCGCCTCCAGGGGTAGCAAACTAGGGGATGAATGCAGTTTCGCGCACCTTCCCGTAACCGGTTACTATAAAACTTGGCAAATGCATGTAATTCCACGAAGTTTTGAGGTCTGATTCTTTTTAGAAAAAAGTTATAATTATCAGTCACTAAAGACAAACCATCATGGCAGGTTACAGCGCCGAGAAACACGTGTAAATGTTAACAAAATATTATCAAAATGGGTGTTCTATTGCGGCAACGATGCGCGCGTTGCGTTCATTTTACAGTTTATGTGGTCATCCTTCCCAGCCGACTATTCAAGGTTTGATGGCCAAATTCGAGTCGACCGGTTCAGTGAACCATCAGCCAACACCCGTACTTCAACAAACGTAAAATCTGCGAAAACATCGCAGCTGTTCGTGCAAATGTTCACGAGAAGCCGAGGCAGTCTATTATATTAGGTACTAATGTTAGGAATCGAGTGTTACATTAAGTTTATTATCCTGTGTAATTGTAATTAAATGTAATTGTAAAATGTAAGACGATTGTAATATATTTTTTGTTTATTTCACTCACAAAAATAACTTCTAATTAAATCTATGACACATATTACGATTTTGTGATATCGACTACTCAAGTGAGTGACTGCCGCTCGTGGTAGGTTTGTAGAGCCTGTGCAGTGTAGAGAAAACTTTGAATATTATAATGTAACACGGTTATTGCCTTAATGTATTTACAAGATTTTTATATAACACATTTTATAAAACAGCCTGAAAGTGACTTCGCGGTCGAATCGGGTATTTAATAATTTAAAAATATTTTTGTTTTTCACAACACCAAGTAATGGGACGAACAGGTCATGCGACTGGTGGTAGCCTAGACTCCTATCCACAGCGGTTGCAGTGCCACTCAGAGCTATAAATCGCAAAGATCTAAGGGGCACTGCCACTGCGCCCGTCACCCTGAGATATAAGTTGACAAGTCCCATGTGTCTGTCATTTCGCCAGCACCCTTACCCTTCAAAACTGGAACGCAGTAATGTGAGCATTACTGCTTGGCGGCAGAAATAGGCAAGGTGGCAGTACTTCTTTGGACGAGCTTTTTCGCAAGGCGCTCTCCTGATAATAATTTAATATCATTCAAGTAATATAGTAAATTTGTAGGTAGAAGGTTCTATTATACGAAATTTATATTTATAAATTTATTATTTTAGCCGTTCTCATCAACTGAAAAGTAGATCATGTAAAACTGCTCTACTTCAAAAGAGTGTAATAGTAATGGCTACGAAGGTTTATAACAAACTTCCACTTGAAATTAGGAATTGCAACGATTGTGCAGAATTTAAGAAATTATTATTTAATTACCTAAATGATTGGACATTCTATAATATTGAAGATTTCTTATAAAATTTACATTTCATATTATTAAATTTGTTATTGATTATTTTACTATTGTTATTATGTTTCATTAGTAACAGGTTGCATTAATTGGACTGCATGATTACAAATTATTGCATGAGAATTACTAAAACTAAGAAAACTTTGTATGCCATAAGGCGGAT